TCTTTCTGTCTTGACAGTTCTTTGTTGAATGTGACTACGGGTGCTAGCCACCCGCAGGATGCATCTTAAGCTAATTACATTTAACCCTCTATAATTAACTGATCACCGTGTCTGTCCTCTCGGGCCAATCACTAATTTCCAGGGATGTTAGTTAGTGGCTGCCACCGCCCACTTGGTGGTGTACACACCAAGCTTCCGGTTGCTGATCTCGGCCCCATTAGATGCCCATAGGCCTACCAATCAGCTGTCGTGGCCTCACCCTGTGTTAGGGACTAACCATAGGCTTGATGACTGCAGTCCTCCCTGCCAGTATTAGGGGTTGGCAGTGAGCTTGCAGGCTCTAGCCTATCAGGGTGCTCTGTCTAGGGCCTAGATGCATGTCTAGGCCTGCTAGTCAGGTGGTTTTCAAAATCATTCTCTGTATTTGAGGGGGAGCTAGGCTCTGATGACAGCCCTAGTTAGGGACTTGCTTAAGTAGTGTATAATCACTACATTAGGCTTGACTCTATATCATTAGAACCTTGACAGGTGCACAGTAGAATAGTGGGACATTGACATCCCATGCCAGCCCTGATGGGTGTTCGCAGGATCTTGCTTAACTAGTGGCTTGGCTTGCAGTAGAGAGTTCTACCCTGCACCAAGCCTTACTAATTAGGCTCAGCCCCTATTACATGGGGGCTTTCATGGGTAAGAAGTGGCAGGTGCCAGCAGTGGGATTTGAACCCACACACCCCTAATGTGTGCGGCCTTGGTTACCAGTCTTACCAACTGGGCCACGCTGGCTCAGCAGATCTTAAGACTTGTTGAAATTTCATTAACTATCTATCTATAAGTTTATGTTCAATTCAATAATATAATCATATCTGACTTAGCTAGCTGATTACAGTATCATTTTTTCAGTTGTTATTAAAACTTAATAATTTCAGCAGATCTCTTAACTTGATATATTTCATACTTAAATTCTCATCATGTGTAGCAGTCTCAGATAATATATACACTTCTGAAGAGATTATGAATAATTATGATAAGATCTTCAGATTCAGTATAATTATCTATCTGTATAAATATTTAATCTTCTGTTGCAGGTCTATAATCTGATTTTCTCTATTCTTATTAATAGTAATAATTGTATCAGCAAAGCTCTTCATAGTAAATACTTAATCTACAGTGAATATCAATTGTTACTTAACTTCTGTCTCAGTCTGTAAGAAATCCCGCTTCTCGCGAATTCTTTACCTCTATTTCTATCTCTTGTGTAATTAATAGAGTTAGCGGCTCTTGGCTACACACAACTATATAGACTGAAGTTCACAAATACTATTTATAACTCAGCTTAAATGCTATTATATATTAACTTCTACATTTTATCTTTCTACTGTGAATACTTCTAGTAGTTAACAGTACATATTATATCAAGCTGTAAACACTTGAATAATCATCTGTAAGCACTTATTCTTACATTTTAAGCTCAATCTATCAGTAATCACTTATTATGACTGAAAGAATTAGAAACTTGTATACTTTAATCTCTATGAACTCTACTGCAGACACTCTGAAGCAGTCATCTGAATTATGAATAACTTTCATGAAAGAAGTCTCAGAGAACTTATCAATTACTTATAGAACATTATTCTCTATATCTGTGACAGAGAAACTCTTCAAATTCATGAATAAATCAATGTTAGTGAAGAACATTCTTGAGCATCTTCTGTGAAATTAAGCTATTTTTCTATAAGAAATACTTACTGTCTGTAAACACTCTTGAACTGAGTCTCTAGACATGATCTTCAGAGATATCTATAAACTGAAAAGAAACTTTCTTAAGCTGTGAACACTTAAGATCACTTACTGAATCACAATCTATAAAAGCTTTTACAAGTTTGTATTTGAAATTGACTCATAAGTCTGACTATATAATATGAAAGATGAAGAAGCTGTTATCTATATAATAACAGATCTCTACTACACTGAAGTCAAGAACTGACTGAATTATCTAGAGAATGATTATAAGAGATCTCACTAATCTGTTCTTAAGATTTATCTAGAGAATAAGTTGAAAAACTCTGTAAATCAGACAGAGAACATCTGAACTGTAATTATCAATATTAGAAAAAGAGATAAGAAATCTGATGAAGACTACTCACAGCACTTTATAAAATTATGATATGAATTGAGATCTGTGAAAACAGAGTTCTGAAATAAGACCTGAATAATGATATTTATAAAGAGACTGAATAAAGATATATAGAACAAGCTCATTGAGTAAGACACTAAGTTCTTAACTTTGAAGAAACTAATAACTCTTATTCATTACTTACAGATCACTGTAAGAGTCACAGATCTGTGAAAAGTGAATCATTGATCAGTTCTGTGAGAATCAGAATAACAGAGAACAGATTTATCAGAGAAAGATAATAAGATATAGAGAGATTTATATCTGACTACTGAGTAGAGAGAGAGAGCTTCATAAGCTTCTATAAATAGAGTATATAATAGAGAGATTAAGAAAAAGAGTCTCTGCTTTATCTATTCTAAATTAGAATATCTCTGTATAAACTGTTCAGATAAATTAAAATAGAAATTTAAGAAGTCACAGACAGAGTTAGCAACAGTCTTCTTAAGAGTCTTAAAGCTGATACCTGAATCTGTTACTTTCTTAATGAAAATGCTTGCTTATAGAGAGAGACTGTGTCACAGTACTGCTATTTCACAAGTATAAGAAGTATTAATAAACTCAGAATCTCAGATCACTGTAGTGTCTCTAAAGCTTACAAAGTGAATAACTGAGTGATGAAAACTGAGAATCTGCTCTTATAATAAGCAGGATGTGAGAACTCAGATCTGAGAACTGAGAGACTTACAAGAGTCATCTTTGAATTATAAGATCTCTTCAGAATCTGAAGAAGATTTACAGAAACTGTGATTATCACAGATATCACAGATAATATATACTTGAGACTTATATAACTTCAAAGATATAATCTGCACATAGCTGTTCATGAGTCAGGTTTATACTTTCAATCAGTGTTGATAGACTCACTTATAAAGATAGAATCAGTTAATACTGTAGAGTTGATTAAAGAAGATAAGCTTATCTATATAATAACTTTATAAATATCTGAGAACTTTACAGTCATGAAAACTGAGCTTCAGATATCAGAGAAATACTGAGATCTCACAGAGATGTTCAGCTCAGCAAAGACAGCTGAGCTTTCTTCTCACTGTAAGAAGAATCTGATAATAGATTTAATAGAAGAGTAGAAACTGTTCTGAGAATCAATCTATAAGCTCTTTCATTATGAGACAGAGATCTTGCAGATCTATGTAAAGAAGAATCTGAAGAATAACTTTATCTAATCTTCACAGATCTTCACAGAAGCCTCTGTGATATTTGTGAAGAAGAAGAATAAAGATTTGAGATTGTGTATAAACTACTACAATCTGAACTTCAAGATAATAAAGAGTCACTACTCTCTATCTCTGATTGAGAATGTGATCAACTGTCTCATAGAAGCTGTTACATTCATATAACTGAATATAATTAATATATATACATAATTATAAATATAGTCTGAGAATGAATGAAAGACTGTCTTTAGAACTGCACTGAGATTATTTAAATATCTAGTAATATCTTTTGATTTGACTAATGTCTTCACAGTATTTCAGTCTTTCATTAATAAAACACTTCATATATATCTGAATATCTTTATAATAATATATCTGAATAATGTGATGATGTACTCTGTGAAGAAGAAAGAACACACTGAGTATATGCAAAGTGTGTTAAAGATCTTAGATAAGATAGAACTATATAGGTATTACCTCTCTCAATCTGGCTCATTTCTGGCAGAACAATACAAAAAGATACCTTGATAACAGCATTCAATACATAATCAGCGGACGACGAGTCAACAGCACATCAACAACTATAAAATCAGTATACTTTAAGGTCTGACTGAGCCTTTGATCCCTGCACAGTGAGATATATTAAATCTAGTTTTAATATCTCAATATTCAATAGATTCTGCAAGAGATTGAGAACAGCAATACTAGGTTTCTATTGAATTTGAGAATTAACTCTATATTGATATAATCATTGACAAAGTCTTCTATTTTAAGATATAAATAACCAGTTCCTCTACATCCCGCTGGCAATATTTATATTATTATATAGAAACAGACTTATATTCTCTATAATATCAAGACTCTAAAGAGAGAAAGTCTTGATAGAGAGTATACAGTAGTATATATCTTAGCAGTTTCTATCTCATTCTTCTGCAGCAGTTAATGCAAAAAAAAAAAAAGATCTTAGAAATAGTTTTTTACTTCTCTTGAAAAAGTAAGGTGTTTTTCTCTGGATTTTACACAATATTCTTACAAAGAATTAAAAACAGAGCTGTTTTCTATCATAATTGCATATTCTTTTAAGTAAGAATTACTTTTTCAGTGACTGAAGAGCTTTCATTAATACTTAATTTCTTTTTACACTCTTTATTAACTGATTTGAGTTACACACTTGTTGTGTAAGGAGAATTGAATGATTTAGAATAAAATTAAATAGTTTTAAGCACTTTCTCTGCAAAAAATTGATTTAATTTTTGTCAGTTTTTCTCTTAAAAACTGTTATATTATCAGATTTATTATTAATTGATATCATACTTTTCCTCACTGTATCTCAAGAAAGAGATTGTAAAGATTTTATTGATTTATCTCAAAAATCAATTTTAGTTTATTAGATTCTCTTCAAAAATCAAACCTAGTTACTGAACTAGTGTGAAAAAAATCAGGTGTTTTATACATAAAAGTCTTTTATTCTTCTTTTGAAACAGTCTGACCAACTTTTCAATTGAAAACAGACTTAGAAATCTCTTAATTGAAACAGTCTGACCAACTTTTCAAAAGAGTTTAATAAATATCTCAATTGAAACAGTCTGATCAACTTTTCATTGAGTGAGAACAATAAGTTCAAAAATACACTCAGTTGATATGGAAAAAGATCAATCACTTTCAACCACGAACTCGCTCGATTTTTCGAATAAGAACCCGCCGATAGATCCATCGAAAAGCCCTCGATCATACGAGCATTTTGACCCCATCGCCGACCGCATACCCCGTGTGGTGGTGGAGTTATCCAGCCAAACGTGAACCAGACGTCGTTCGGAACTCCTGCGTGGGATTATCCCCCATTCTCCCCTACCACACCACAACCCCGGGCCAAATTGCCATACAAATTGTAAGGTGAAGAGACCTAGCCGTATGCACCAATCTTCTCGATTTTGGAAGATCCCCGATCTGTAGTTGTGGAGATATCTGAGGAGCGACCTCCGCGAAAACCCTGTCCATCTTTGATGTTCCAAAACACCAACGCCAAGTCCCACCCTCGTACCGCCCTTCCCAATCTGGCCCATCCCCGGCAGAAAAATACAAAAAGATACCTCGGCAACTGTATTTGATACATAATCAGCAGACACAACAACTATAAAATCAGTATACCTCAAGGTCTGACTGAGCCTTTGATCCCTGCACAGTGAGATATATTAAATCTAGTTTTAATATCTCAATATTCAATAGATTCTGCAAGAGATTGAGAACAGCAACACTAGGTTTCTATTGAATTTGAGAATTAACTCTATATTGATATAATCATTGACAAAGTCTTCTATTTTGAGATATAAATAACCAGTTCCTCTACATCCTGCTGGCAATATTTACATTATTATATAGAAACAGACTTATATTCTCTATAATATCAAGACTCTGAAGAGGGAAAGTCTTGATAGAGAGTATACAGTAGTGCATATCTTAGCAGTTTCTATCTCATTCTTCTGCAGCAGTTAATGCAAAAAAAAAAGATCTTAGAAATAGTTTTTTACTTCTCTTGAAAAAGTAAGGTGTTTTTCTCTGGGTTTTACACAATATTCTTACAAAGAATTAAAAACAGAGTTATTTTCTGTCATAATTTCATATTCTTTTAAGTAAGAATTACTTTTTCAGTGACTGAAGAGCTTTCATTAATACTTAATTCTTTTTTACACTCTTTATTAACTGATTTGAGTTGCACACTTGTTGTGTGAGGAGAATTGAATGATTTAGAATAAAATTGAATAGTTTTAATCAATTTCTCTGCAAAAAATTGATTTATTTTTTGTCAGTTTTTCTCTCAAAAACTGTCATATTATCTGATTTACTATCAATTAATATCATACATTTTCTCACTGTATCCCAAGAAAGAGATTGTAAAGGTTTTATTGATTTATCTTAAAAATCAATTTTAGTTTATTAGATTCTCTTCAAAAATCTAACCTAGTTACTGAACTAGTGTGAAAAAAATCAGATGTTTATACATAAAAGTCTGCTATTCTTCTTTTGAAATAGTCTGACCAACTTTTCAATTGAAAACAAGCTTAGAAACCTCTTAATTGAAACAGTCTGACCAACTTTTCAATTCAAAAGAGTTTAATAAATATCTCAATTGAATTAGTCTGACCAACTTTTCATTGAGTAAGAACAATGAGTTCAAAAGTACACTCAGTTGATGTGAAAAAAGATGCTTTCTCAAATGCTATTCCTGAGATTGAAATTCTGAAGAGAAGAAAGAAAGAAGAAATAGAGAAATAACAAGTTCTTGAAATACAGAAACTTGAAAAAGTAAGTAAAATTCTTGAAAAGCAGTGTCTGAGTGAGATGAATGAAGAAGTTCTGTTAATTCTTCATGCTCAGGCTAGACAACTACAGGAAGTGATCAAGTTCAAACTTGGAATTTCAAACACAGTTCAAAAAACTTTGAAAATTTCTAATACAATCACTGACTCTTCAGTTTGCTCTTCTTTCTTTTCTACTTCTTCTTCTTATTCTTCTTTAAATCAGAAGAAAACATATGCTCAAGCAGCTGAATCTGCTGCCTCTAAACCTGCTGTCTCTAAATCTGCTATGTCAAAACCTGCTCAAAATTCTGAGAAAACTGAGAAGAATACTGCTCATACTTCTAGTGATAGAAGAGTGAAGAAAAAAATGTAAAAAGAGAAAAATCTTCAAATCTCCAGAAATAGAAGACTTATTCTCAAAGTCTCAAATCAGAACATATTGCAGAGAAATAAGCTAAACTCAAATCTCATTTTCAGAATTAGAAATGAAATCAATCAACAGTTCTTTTCTCAGTTAATGACTGATATTGAAGTTCAAAAACCAGTTATAGCTTTAATTGAGCTATTCTTCTTTGAAAACTTCATCATTCTGACTACAATGCCTGAATTCAGTGCTGAATTCCTTATTCAGAATGAGAATCTCTGGAAATTAGCAGTAGAATCTTTATTAAATACAACAATTCTATCTGAGAGAGATGAAAAGTGAGACAAATTCATTCTTCATAATATTTCAGTTGAAATTTTTGACTGTGAAGAAGGAATGCTACTTCTCAAAAATGAATTAGAAGAATACAACTCTATTCAACTGAGAAAGGAGCCTGTATGACTAAATTCAATTGAGTTCAGACAAAGTAGAAGAAATGCCTCTGTTCTAGTATATACAAAGACAATGAAACAGTCAAAGATCTCTGAAGTAAGAGTAGCAGATTTGAAAATGAGAGTTCATGAATACAAAGACTCAAGAATGAATCTCAAAGCTCAAACACAGTGTTCAAACTGTCAAAGATATGAACACTTTGCAATCTCCTATTTCAGAGACTCAAAATGTACATTCTGTGCCAGAGATTACAAAACTAGTGAGCATAAATGTGAAACATGCTCAAAAAGAGATGAAATATGTTAACACACTCTACTTAAATGCTCTAATTGCAAAGAAAAACATGCATCTAGCTCAAAAGAATGTATGTTTACTTCAAGAACTCAAAAGAACTGAAGAAAAGATGAAGCTCAGAGTAAATCTAGAACTGAAGAGAATAGTCAAGTCAGTAAACTCACAACTGCAAGCTCAAAAAGAAGAAACTCTCAACTATCTAAGTCTTCAAACTTCAATTCTTCAGCTAAATGTAAACAGAATTTAAATCCTCAAACTCCTGTTAAGATTAGAGAATTGAGAAATAACTCTGATGATAAACTAGATATAATATAAGCAGTTGAGATTTCTACTTTTCAGAACAGTTATAATCTACTATCTGATGATAGTGATTAGATTCTACTCTACTCTCTTTTAGTATGAATATACAATAAAAATAATAAAAAAAGTTTAAAAACTCTTCAAAAATCACATTTATTCAAAATAATGTGAATAGAAACTCAAATTATATTTATTCTTGTCTTCAAATTGCATTTGAATAAAAAGTTGATTTTATACTGCTTCAGGAGCCAAATTTTGATGCTGAGCAAAAATATGTCATTTCTCATTTAAGCTACTACTGCTTTTTACCTCAAAAGTCTGAGATAAAGTCAAGAGTAGTAATCTATGAAAGAAAGAGATCAAGATATTAATTTAATCTAAGATTTGATATTATATCTGACCCTGATATTCTGGTGAGTGATATTATAGATAAAGAAAATGAGTTTGATACTATACAGCTCATAAATATCTATAATGAAAAGTCATTGAAGGAATATAATAATATCTGAACAATTAATAGAGGATTTCTGAACATAACTTCATCAAGAAACTCTATAATTGCAGAAGACTTCAATGCACATCATCTCTGATAAAATTGAGAATGCAAGAGAGCAGTGAGAGCTGATAATCTGATTGAATGAACCTTTGAACATTTAATAGATTTGGTTAATAAGTCTGATCAATAAACATTTCTTAGAAAAGGCATGAAACAGAAGTCTATTATAGATCTAATCTTCATGTCATAAAATCTAATGAAAAGAAGACTTGTAAACTGATTTATTGATTCAAATGAGACATCAGAATCAGGTTATGAGATTATTCAATTTGATATTGAACTGAGTGAAAAACAAATGAGTGAAAATCCTCTTCTCTCTAATCAGTATAACTTTGAAAAAGCTGATTGAAAAGCAGTTAAAGAAAGTATAAAACTGTTAAAATCTGCAAGACAGAATGAGCTATATTGAAATTCTGATCAAGATATCTCAAATGAAATGCTTGAGAATAGAGTGAAGCTTATTACATCTATTATTCTAACAAGTGTTAGAGATAATATTTCAAAGAGAAAATCTTCTGAGTATTCAAAATCTTGATGAAATGAGAATATCTCATCTAAAAGAAAAGAATTAGCTACTACTAGAAGAAATTGAAAGAATGATGTAATATCTGATGAAGAGTTCAAAGCTATCAGAAATGAATATTTTTCAGATATTAAAAGAGTTAAAACAGACTGCTGGAATAAATTTCTTGAAGAAGCATAAGAAAAGGAAGTTTTTAAAGCTTTTAACTATACTAAAACAAGAAGTGTAGCAAAACTTCCAGCCTTAGAATATGAGTTTCAGAATGAATCATATACAGCAAACTCTTTTAAGGAAAAATGTCAAGCTTTCATGAGAATTCTCTTTCAGAACTCACCAGATTCAGATTCAGATTCAGAGAAAGAGAATATATCACTTCTCAACTACATTAATGAAAATAACTGGGAATGGCCTGATCATACACAAGATGAATTAGAGTCAGCTATCTTCTCAAGTTCTGTTAAAACTGCTGCAGGTCCTGATTCAATTAATCACTTGATTATTCAGAATACATATTCCTACTTAAAGAATGAATATTTTGAGCTCTTTTTCAATCTCTTGAAAAATGAATATCATTCTGAATGCTGGAGAGAAGTCACTGAAGTGATTCTTGCAAAACCTAATAGAAAAACTTCAATTCCTAAGTCATATAGAGTAATATCTCTATTGAACTGCCTAGAAAAGGTTTTAGAAAAGATAATAGCTACTCAACTATCTTTTATAAGCTCTATAGATGATTCTCTTTTATTCAGTGAATAAATAAGAGATAGAAAACAGTGTTCTGCAATTGACACTGTTCTCTCAGTTATTCATGATATTCAAATAGCAAAGCATGAGAATCTGGTCTCAACTGCAGTTTTTATTGATATAAAAGAAGCATTTGATCATGTTTCAAAGTCAAAGTTAATTCAAACATTGAAGATATTAAAACTGTCACTTTCTCTAATAAAATGAGTTAACTATTTTATATCTAAAAGAAGTATACAACTCTTCTTTGATGGAATGAAACAAGACAAGACTGAGATAAAAATAGAAGTATCACAGAAATCTTCAATCTTACTCATTTTATTTGCAATATACACTGCATATCTATTTAAAAATAGAAATATGAGAATAGTGTGATCTTCAAGTTATATGAATGATATTGATCTAGTCTACAGCTCAAAAATCATCAAAGAGAATTTGAAAGTAATTGAAGAAGCTGCAAAGAAAATCTTTGTTAGAGCAGATATTAATCAAATTCAATTTGATATGAATAAAACTGAGTTAATTCACTTCTTTCT